CGTCCCAGGGGCAACATTAAATTCAGACTCTCTGCTTTGTGAGCCCCTATCAATAAAGTCAGCCTGATCTGACTTTCTAAGTTCAGCAATTGAAAAAATTGGTGCGGTCCATCTCCTGATCTTAGGAAGCTCTGCAGAGACACTGAATCTTTGCTGCCTGAGGTGCCCAGTAGGGGGCAGGTGGAGGCTGGGGAATTCTGTTCCAATATTGACCACCAGAGGGCACTGCAGGACAGGCAGCCTCCTGAGCCCGCGACAAGTAGAAGGGTCCTTCCTTCCTCGAAGCCACATTTATGACTGCCAAATTAAGGCAGAGCACTTAAGTGTAGAGCTTGCTCTGAATCACAGGAAATAAACACGGAGGCTGTCACCCACGGGCCCTTGTGGAAGCCTGGTCACCCAGCCTGGAGCAGCCATGGCAGCAGCACACCTCTGTCTGAGCTGCCAGGGAGGCCTGGCTGGGCTGGCGCTGGGATCAGACACTGTCAGGGGCCGTGGATGAGGTGACGCCTCTGTCCCCAATCCCACAGCGTGGCAGGGAAGCTGAGGAACCTCCCCGGGATGCGCGGGGACCGCCCACCACTGCCCCACAGAAGCAGACGAGTCTTAGGGAGGGACAGGGGCTGGGAAAGGGAAGGGCACGGAGGGCTCACCGCGTCCCCTTTTGTGGGAATGCTGCCAGCCGGGGCAGACCCCCCAGGGCTTTCCCCATGAGGCCGCGGCCTCGGCGCTCCAGCCTATAACGGGGGATCACTGCCACTACCCCACGATGGCAGGGTCACAGAAGAGCCCGGGGAGGGGACTTGGCAAGGATTGGCCCTCCTACATGAGCAGGCGCGACCTTGGGGGGGCTGATGGGTACGAAGACAAATGAGACCATGTTGTCATCCTGAGGAATGGTCCCTGGACAGCTGGGAAGTGTATGCATGAATAATAAAAACTACGCTTATGTTTTCATTAAGCACCCACTATGTGCTTGATACTGTTCATGAATTAACTCATGGAGTCCTGTCAAAAGCCTGTGAGAAAAGGTACTATCAGCACCCTTACTTTGCACATACGTAAAACAAGGCACAGAACATGTAAGTAACTTGCCAAAGGTGCCACAGCTAGGAAGTGACTTTGATACAGAAATTGTTATACGGCGTAATGCAATGTGTCTATTTTGGAGATCTGATATGTATAATATTATTGCAATGCCCTGATTCCATAGGGCCCCGTGGAGGTTCAGATGGTTCTGTGACTTTTCTGCCTCCTTTTTAGGCAAAGTGGTATCAACAGAGAGGCTGGTCCCCTGAACCCTGAAGCAACAGCCAGAGGTATTTATGTGTACAAGGGGGGACCCCCTCCCAAAAACTGGAATTACCTTCTGGAAGGCGGGCCCCTTGCAGTACAGGCTTCCCCCGCGGGGTGAGGGTTCTAGGAACCCATCTGTGTCAGTGCACCAATTGGTGGTGTTGTGAGAAGCTGCATTTGGCTTCAGGGAATTTTTTTTAAAGACTTTCAACACATTTACACGTTTCATGATGGGTGACTTACGAGCGCACCTGCCCACACCGCGCTAAGTGCTCAGCAGTTTTTGACCAAAAACAGCGTGACCCCCCTGCCCCACCCTCCTCATTCACCTGCTCTCGCCCCGAGGGACTTCTGTGTGTGTGTCCCTGGGTGAAAAAGGTCCTCAAAAGGAAACATTTTGCCAGTGCGGGAGGGGTAAAACAAAAAAATGGCAGAAGCACTAAAAGCCATCAAAATCGATGAGTTAAAAAACCATTCTGAGCAGTGGAAAAACAGCCTCACGAGGTGCGTTGCATCCAAGGGAGAGTACGTGGAAGGTGACTGAGGTTTAAACATGTAAGAGTAAATACACACTTTTTAATAAATAAATTCCAGGGGGGTTTTTTGCATCCCCCCTTATATGTACCACATCTCCAAAATACACATACGAATATATACTGCCTACAATGAGGATGAAGAAGCTCCTCGTTACTCACGGACGCCCTCCTCACTAACATTCATCTGCCCCTCCAAAGTCAGCACTCCCAGTGCACTGTGTCTGTGGTCCTCAGCTGGTACGGGAATGCGCAGAGAACTGAAAACTTGAGGTCCAACCACGTGACCCTCTGCCTCCCTGTCTCTGCTCTCGGAGTATAAACAAGTGTTTTTTCATGGCCTATTTAGTATCTCCTTTTTGGCATTTTTGTCTTTTTGGTGGTGGTTTTGCCACTTGAATGGTCCCCAAGCACAGTGGCCAAGGGCTGTCTGGTGTCCTCGGGGCAAGGCGTCTGTGATGTGTCTTAGAGAGAAAGCAGGGTCGCGGGACCAGCTTGCTTCGGAGTGAGTTGCAGCGCCGCTGGCTGTGAACTCCGTATTAGTGAATCAACAATATATGTTGAACAAGTTTTCTGTAAACAGAAACACACACCAAGCAACGTCATGTATGGACCAGGTGATGAAATCGGTCAAGACGCTCTCGGGAGCCTGGCCCTGTATTTCTCCCAATTGCAATGGTTCAGTATTTGCTCATTCAGTGCTGGTGACTTTCTAGAACGAAACCACCTCGGAAAATGAGAACCAATTACGGACATTCAGTATGTCGTGAATGGCGATGAATGGAATGAGTAAGTACGTGGCCTTGGGGACCTGCCCACATTCTGGACACGGTCATACTGTCCTTATGCCACGTAGAAGAGGCTTTTACACATGGACCACAGAGCGGCCCTGCTTGGCATCAGAACAAGAGGGGCAGATGGCACCCCCTGCCCAGACACCCCTGGAAGGTGCTCCATCGAGCGGGGCCCCCTAAGCACCGGGGAGCCCACAAACATTCATTTGAACTCCCACCACACCCGGCCAGGGAGGCAAGTATTACATGCCTTTCAAACAGGACACCTGAAGGTCTGAGCAGTAAGAGAAGCTCCCCAATGCCCCACACCGGGGCCATCAGCCCCCCATGCACTGTGATGTCCGCTTCACCAACGGCTTGGCCAGTCCTCGCTCCTGTGATTGCTTCTCGAAGCACCTTCATTACCCGAACCTGCAGTCAAGGGCCTGGATGAAGCTCGGAGCCAGGAGGCCAGAACAGTGCGGGCGAGGGGTCTTCCCCCTTCCCCTACTCCCACAGGGACCCTCTCCACCAAGCCTCGCCCTCCTCCACGGTCAGCAGTGTGCCTGCCGGAGCCCAGCAGTGACTGCAGGTGCCTCCGAAGGGGCAGGGAATGGAGGAAAGGGAAGCAGAGACTGGCAGAGAAGATCAGAAGTAACTCATCACTGGAGGAAATGGTGGGGAAGGGGCGAGACAGGAAGACAGAGATAAGGGCAAGGAAAGGTTCGCACTTCTGGTGGGAGAGGGGTTGCATGCCAACAACCATTGCTCCGGGGGCAGCGAGGGCCCACTGGGGACCCACCTAAAGAAAGAGGGGGAGGGAACAGTGCAATCCAACCATGGTGGATGCCTAGCGGTGAACTGTCGTCAATGGCTTTGGAGAGGAGTTACAATATCTGAAACAAGGACCCCCAAGCCCACAGCAAATGCCACTGAAATCGCCTAAGACCCTGCACTCAGTCCTCAGAGGGGCAACGCAGGAGGTGTCTCAGCAGTGAGGGGTGCCAGTGCGTCAGAGCGAATCCTGCGGGAGGAGGTGGGGTGGGCGTGGGGCAAGAGGAGAGAATTTTGAGAAAACGCCTTCAGTGTGTGCACCCAGAAGTTCCTGCCAAGTGGCCTTCACTTGGCCTGAGAACATGAGGTCTGTGGGCCAGAAAGTGCCCCGAAAGGGCAGGATGCTAGCAGCTCCCACCAGCCCAGTGGGCAAGGCGGCCGCACGCCAGTTCTGGGAGCTGAGCCGCCGGACGCTCGGTCCTGGGGCGTGGGGAGAATGGTTCACGCAGCCCCGGGAGGGGGCCTGGGCTTGGCCTGGGGTGTGGCTGGCCTGGCTGGCTCGGGAGCATGCAGACCACGCCTTGTGGAGAAAGGGGAGGGCGACCGGCACCCTATGATGAACAGATTCACAAGCGCCCCCACCACTCTCCTCTGGCCGTTTGTCTTGAGTGGTTCTGAGACACAGTTTGCTTCAACCACGGCCGTCGTTTACTGAGTTTAGGAGTGTATGGTGAGCAAGATACAGACGTGACAGTGACCTGAGGCCGTGTGTGGCCTCCGTTTGACAACAGGCATCCTGAGAGGTGAGGAGGCCCGGCCCCTTCCTTGAAGAAACACTTTTCAAAATTCCCACCTTCCAACACAAAGCCAGAGTCCCTGGTCCCTCCGCCACCCTGGAAGGAGAGGCCTTGGATTTCGAAGGTGAGGGTAGGGTGACAGGCACAAAGCCAGTGGGCTCGGCTGGAGGAGGAGGCAGGAGCAGGGAGAAGCTACAGACAGGCTGGCCTGGCGTTAGGGGTCCTGCAGCCCCGCGCTGACTCCTTCGTGTAGACTCAAAACACCTGTCCTGCAACCACGTTCCCGTGGGCGGGAGGGGCCTCAGGGAGGGCTGGTGCATCACCTCCCGCTGCTCTCAGGTGGAGGAGGGAGAACAAGGAAGCGAACTGCCCAGGGAATAGGGGCCAACCCAGCCTCCGTCCCTCCCGACGCCCCTTAGGAACAGGTGGCGCTCAGTTCCAAAGCAGGTGGTCTGCGATGCATTTGGTCAAAGGGAAGTGATTTTGTAATTGCCGTCTGAAGTCACGGGTTACTGCAAGAGGCACCAGGACTAGAGCCATTTGAGCATGTATACGAACGATCAGGCGTTGGCATTAGAACGCAAAGTGGGTTCCGAAATTCACTGACGCGCAAAACTTGAGATTGCTGCTAGTGTCGCTGAACATGTCGATGAATGAATCACTGCTCTTACGGTAAATGGAGGAGTATTAAAACTACAGAAACACACACTCGCACATATGTCACTAGCTCCACCTCTGTCAATGAAGCCAAAGTAAAATTCAGCAGGTTTTAAGGGTTTTCTTTATTTCAAGACACCGATGTTAAACCATCGAGTGGGATAAAAAGCAATTACGAAAACCCAGGAAGCCAGGAAACACGACGTGGGAAACTGAGCAGCAGGGTGTGCTCTTGTTTTGTGTCAGGGCATCCAGGAGCGCGGGGGTCCTCTGAAGCCACTGCCTCTTAATAATGACAGTCTAGAAATTTAAAAAGCGAGACGGTTGGTGGGAGGACAGGGAGCTCAAAGGCACGAGCTAACGGTGCTCTGGGTCACGTGACAACTAGCCACTTGCCCAGCTGTGCCCACCGAAGAAGGAGCTCCCCTCCTGGGACAAATGCCCAGGGCCGGGGTGTCCTCTGGAGGGGCCATTGTCCAGGTGGACCCTTAGGTCACACTTGGAAATTTCTAAAAGTGAACGCTATGCCCTTCAAGGAACAGTGCCCTCCCCCCATTTGAGGGGAAAATGCCTGCTTTTCTTTATCTTGCCAAACTCAGTGTCAGGAGACACATGTGACGGAGGGGGTGGTAGGGGGACTGGACACCCCCCGGGACTGGCACTGAGGCAGGAGGCTGTGGGCAAAAGCTGTCATGCCTGGTCACGTGGGAGAGGACAGGGAGGTCTGCAAGAGAAGGGGCCACATCTGCTTTGTTCTGGGCCCCGTCCCTAGCACCCTACACAGAGGTGGCATTTAGGAGCATCCAAATATGGTGACTGAACTGCAGTAAAATGGGAGCGGCCACCAGAGTGGGCCGAGATCCAGGGGCGTGGCTAACAACGTGATGCTTTCACACCGTGGTAAAGACACACGAGGCTGTACGGCTTTAAAGGTATCGAAGGGAAGCTGCCGTTGCCGAGAGTATTCTGGAACTGCCCTCAGTCCTGGTTCACAGTAAAGGCAGGCTCATCCATCCATATACTTGTTTCCTGAAACGGCCACCCCGGGCTCGGGAGCTCTGACCTCCGCGGCGCTCAGGCGCGATGTCTAGCCTAGGACCCTCCGCCTCGCGGCTCCCGCCTGCCCTGAGAAGCCCCCGTGTCCGGGAACCTGCGGGGGCTCAGCCGCAGAGACATTACCTTGCACAGTCTGCGGGAAGAAACACCAGGGCACCTCCGGGATGGTGTCGGAGAAGCAGCACTTCCGAGAGGCGCACTCCTCGGAGCTGATGCCTGGGTAGCCGCAGTTCCTGCGGGCTGAGACCTCCATGACACACTCCTCTGACTCTGCGCGCGCATCACCAGGTGTGGGAGAGAAGCAGCACAGAGGCTCCATTAGGCCCGCTACAGTTACCTGAGGACTTCCAGCCCTGTCCCCCCAGCCAGGGGGCACTGCTCGATTTACAGCCCAGGGGTGACTCCCGGGCCAGCGGGCGTGCGGGCCCTGGCGACTGGCCGCCCCTTCTTCCCCGCAGATGCCACAAGTCGGAAGATCTAAAGGCTTGGGGCCTCGTGAAAGTCATTCCTCCTCTCTGGACTCGACCTTCTCCTCTGTAAAATGGGGTGGCCCACCAGACCACAACGGGAAAAGCCTTTAAGGTTGCAAAGCATGTGGCCCAAGTATTGAAACCCAACAGCACTTCCCCTCGAGGGAGGGCTCTGGCCAACAAGCAGCCTCAGAGCCCGGGAGCCTGCCATTCAGCCCCTGGGGTGTGTGGACGAGAGGCTGCGGGCCCCAGTTTCAGACCCACCGGGCGCTCCGCACACGCCCCTTTCTTCTGTGCCCCTGCGTCTGGGCGTGAAGGTCCTTCCACCGCGATCATACGCACTGGCATAAAACTCACGCTCTGAAGGTAGCACTAGAAGCCTTGATTTCATAGCCCTTGAGGTCTGGGAGCTGTCATGTGGATAATTAAATGCCTCTTTCCGCCCCCCGCCCCCACCCCCACCCCAGACGCCCCTTCAAGTGTCACACTTTTACACAAAGGGAAGGCCTGCGAGTTGTTTTTCCTTCAAACACAGAAGAGCAGGTTCTGTACATACATGGGTTCTCATGTCTGTCTGCCAAATGGGACAAAGGGCTGGCACTGGGGCCTCCGGGTGTGCACATGGGTCAAGGGGGACTTCTTCTCTTCCCATTGGCGGCCCTAGACACCTGTCCCCAAGCACCATCAGCCAGGACCTGGGCTGGCGGTCGAAGGCACAGGAAGAGAGTGCAGCTCTCCTGCAGGTTACCTTGCTTCGGGAGGGGCTCGAAGCACCAGGGGACTCCCGGGACAGAGGTGTCGAAGCAGCACCCGACTGTGAAGCACTGGTCGCTGGTGATGCCGGGAAAGCCGCAGTTCTTCCTGTTCTGTGGGTCCATCCGTGAGCACTGGCAGGGCGCTGTGGGGACACCCTGGGTCAGCGCTCCCCTGCTTGCGCCCCCTGCTCGCGGGGGCGCGCTTGGGACACCCTCGGTGTCCACACAGGGAAAAGCGAAGACTGATCTCACGCATATTGATGGAGCTTTGCTGAAACAGTTTTATTAGTAAAGTGAATAAGTAAGTAAATAACCTTCTGGAAAGAGGTGGATGGATGGACCCAGGGAGAGGTCAAGATGAGAGATGATCAAGGCCAGGCTCCAGGGAGCCCCTGGTGGGACCTCCTACCCAGTCCCTGTCCTCAAGCTGGCCCTCCGGCACCTGTGGTCACCCTGCCCTTGTCCCAGAGGGAGGCCTTTCTTGGAGGTCCTACGGACCCCAGGTATCCTCCCTGAGCACCAGGAAAGCACGTGGGAGCATAAACGGGGGCTGGCTGTGTGGCTGACGCCACGCACCTGAGGAAGCCTTTCCCACTGCTTCCTCCCTCAGGTGCACTTGTCATCCCACCAGTCTCTTGCGAGAAAAAAGCAAGAATGGACACCCACCAAGGGGAATCTCCATACTCCCACTGCGTTCGGGGCGCTGGAAGGTTCTCTGGGCTCAGGGGCGCAGACGCTCCCCAGCCCAGCCGTGAACACCGAGCCGCAGAGAGTCACTCAGGGGTACTCACAAGGTTTCTCGGCCCCCACCAGGGTACACAGACCCAGGACGAGGACCGCTGCCAGCAGCCGGGGGCCTGCCATGTCCAAGTTCAGCTGCACCCAGGGGCGCCTGCGGAGTGCAGGGCTCCCACTGCCGGCGGGGGTTTTATCATCTTCTCTGTGTTTGCTCAGCAAGCGGAAATAACCTTTCTCTCTCGCCCCTGGCCCCAACACTTTGGATCCTTTGTTAGGAAAAGGGGCTGAGATAGCTCAGCCGGCAGACAGGAGGCCACGCAGGCAGGCTTCCGGGCCAGGCGCCGGCTCCCGGGCCCCAGTGCGGACACCCTGGCCCGGGCCGAGGGCAGGGTCGTTCCGGGACGCCGACGTGGAATGCTGGCCACAAGCACGTCTAGAGCTGGGAGCTCACCGGGTCACACCCAGGAAGGGATAAGCCAGGCATTTCAACAGATAAAGCAGGTGACTATCACAAGATTTTTTAAAAAATATTGGGCCCAGGGCTATCAGGAAAATGACCAGGCTGGCTGTCAGCGGAGGGAAAACCCCCTGCTTCAGGGATGGGAGGGTCTCCGAGGAGGACAGGAGACCCCTCCTCCAGGGCTGCACAGTTAGGGGTCTTCCTGCTCCCTTGCCAGCACCTCCTTTCTCTACATTTTTTGGGGCGGGTTGCTCGCCATAGGGATGAGTCTGACCGGGTAAAAGAAGAAGCCCAGATGAGTGTAAAAATAGGTTCATTTCAGCAACTCCCCAAAATTGCTCATTTTTTCTTCCATGGGAGCTTTTGGCATTTCCTAAAAGATGCTGCCTGTAAACCGGGTGGGCGCAGGGGTAAGTGCTCTGGGTAAGGGAGCCTGAGGATGGGACAGAAGAAGGAAGAGAGAAGCCAGAGAGGAGACACCCTAACAGAAAAAGGGGAAGGCTGAGGGACGGTCGGTAAGCTCCTCCCAACCACCAGAGGAATTACAAGAACTCGCCAATCTGTCCATCACCAGTTGAGCAGCCATGGGCCCAAAGGTTCATGGGACCCAAAGCCCGGTCCTCAGGTCTAGAGAGCAGTCCTTGTCTCCAGGGCTCCTGGGGGTCCAGCTATAACATTCCCGGACCAGCTGCTGGATTAACCTCTGCTGTGGAACTAATGGGACTCCACCTTTGAAAGCCATGCAGAGTCAACTTTTCCTGCCCCATGTCCCTGTCACCCTTGGTCACCACCGAGACATAAGGCCCTGGGTCATCTCTTCTCTCCTGGCTTCCCGTCCCCTTTGTTCTCTCAGCTTCCTCTCCCTGGACCTAACTTCCCACTGTCTCCGCGTTGGCCCTTCCCGACTTCCAGAGGAAACCACCTGACGTGCTCACCAGCCTCAACCCCCGAGCCTCTCCCCGTCTCCTCTGGCTTCACAGAAGCCTGTGTCTTTCCTGAGTTGCTCCCTTGCATCCAGCTCAGGCAGAGATGCTCAGCACCTCCTCCCTGGTACCAACCACCCATGCAGAGCTTTTGTGCAAATTAGAAAAAGGCACATTTCTTCAAGACAAGTCACTTCTACCTGTGAGGCAATCATTGCAATAGATGCAACATCTTCAGTATAAACGGCACCCTACATGAACGTGGAGCTGTGCACTCAGTACGTCCACAACTGCGTTGTCTGTCCATGCTCCCATTACATGGACTCAGGAAGGCGGCTGGACATTGACCTTGAGACCTGACATCTCTATCCTCACACAAAAGCCACGCTCCTTGGAGATTCAGGCTGTGAACCACACCGTGTTCAATGTCTTGCCCCGCTTTATCTGTAGACATCCACGCTGTCTCCTTTCTAGCAAATCTTTATAATAAGTCTTAAAAAATAATTTAATCTGCAAGTAAATCAGCTGCCTAACAGAACAAAACTTAGCATTTGTTCAGGGAGACAACAAAATCCAGACACACAATGACGTTTAACACAAAAGAAAGATTTACCCATTGTGTGAAGAAGCATGACCCGTAATCTTTAGAAAAAGCAGTGAATAGAAACAGATGCGTATTTTGCACTAAAATGTTCAAGTATTTAAAGGGAAGCATAAAGCTATAATGAGAAAACAAATTTTAAATCTGAATTTAAAAATGGAGACTAAAATTGACCCACATGGAAATTCTAGACATGAAAAAAATAACTAAAATAAAAAACTCATTGTGTAGGCTTCAGGTGAGGTACTGCAGAAGAAGGGGCTGGTTTACCTGAAGCCAATGCAGAACATACGCTCCAGACTGCAGCATGCAGAATAAAGGAACTAATAAAAAATGAACCAAGCCCCAATGACCTGTAAGATAATGTCAACCAGTCTAACAGACATATAATTGGTGTGATAGTATTAGAGGAGGAGAGAAAAAGTACTAAAGAAATAATCACAAAAATTTTTTTGTAAACTTGATGAAAAATATAAACTCATACATCATAGAAGCTCAATGACTCCAAACAAGATAAAGAACACCGCATCAAGGCAGAGCATAATCAAATGGTTGAATATAAGTAATTAGAAATATTTTTACAGCAACTGGAGGAAAAACATACTGCATACAGGGGAGCATAATAAGAATTACAAGTGCCTTCTCATCTGAAACAGTGAAAACCAGAAGGCAACACGATGGCAATTCTAAAGTGCTAAAAGAAAAAAAAAAACTTGACAAGTCAGAATTGTATACTCAGTGAAACTATCTTTCAAAAGTAAAGGCAAAATACTTTTTTTAAAAAAATAGATTTTACTTTTTTAGAGAAGTTCTAGGTTCACAGCAGAACTGAGCAGAAGGTACAGAGATTTCAGTAACTTTTTTAGACAAACCAAAGCTGAGCAAAGCCGTCACTTACAAACCTGTTCTCCAAGGAGCTCTGAAGGAAGCTCCCGAGGCCGAAGCTGTGGCGGTCCTTCAGCGCAGAGCGAGAGCCCTCCAGTCTGCAGCCCGGTACTGCCCAGCTGGGCACGTCCAGTTATGCACCTGTTTGGCGTCTGTAAGCATTTGCACTTACAACCAGTCTGGTCCTTGGGACTTCTCACTTTATTTACTACACCTGCTTCTTAACTCATCTCCAAGCCACACATAATTTTGTTCCCCTCCAGACAAAAGTCAGGTACCTTAATTATCTTTATAAAATAAAAACCTATATATGTCCCACCTCTGCCACTCTCTTGCTTCTCACAGCTTACAAGGTAAAAACCAGCTAGGAGTTGCCTGAGTGTGAAAAGAAAGACACTTTGTGGGCTGGACCCACGTGCCCCTCCAGCCTCGTTTGCCGCGAGGTCCCCCTCACGAGGTAGGCATATCCCACTGCTCTGTACACACCCTGGGCTTTGAGCCTTTGCTTGTGTGTCCTCATCTCTCTCAGGGCTCTGCCTCCACTCTTCGTCTTGCTAACCCCTTTCTATGCTTTCGCTCTTAGCTCGGGAGTCCCTTCTTCCAGGAAGACTTCCCTTACTTCCCTCAGAGAGGCCACGCAGGTGCCCTTCACCCCTCTCACAAGCACCCTTTGTTCACCTGAGTCAAACCATTAGCCACACCTACACTTTAAGGAGATTTTCACTTTTCTGGCTTCTTCATTACTTGCAGCTAGTACCGGCTGCAGGCTGACTTGGGGCCAGGGGACCGTCTAAGGGTCTTGCATGCGAGGTTGGATTCAGTCCTAACAGCAAGGCGGAGGAAGAGCTGGTACCACTGCCCCCCGTCTGACGGTCTGCACAGAAAGATCCCTCGCTCAAATGTCGTAACACAGCGAATGAGTGCAGGGCGACACCCAGAGCCGGGCCTGTGCCTCATCCATTTTCTATCTCAGAACCAGACCCAGCACCTACACACCATGGACTTCCTTCCTGAGGGGGGCGGAGTGGAGAAGAGGATAACTCATCCCCGAGGGGGTGAGAAATGGGAACCGCCCACCTCGTGTGGCCCCCTACCCAGGTTACCTTTGGAGCTCATAAAATAATATCGGCACATAGATATAGGAATGTAACTAAGGCACACCTCCTCACGTCTCTGGATTAGTGTCCTCGCTTGTAAAGGGAGGTGGGATGGGGGCTTATTCCGTGCGCTCCAAAGTCTCCCACGCCTCCTGAGACCTGAGCAGGGTAAGATCTCATTTTCACGGTATAATCAGGGGAGAAATATTTTGTTACCAACATTTATGTGCCTAGAGCCCCCAAGCATAGAAGAGGGGTGGGGGCTGAACAACGTACAATTCCATTTCCTCCCCAGCTTTCCAGGTCTCTGGAGCCAGAGTATGCTGACTGATGGAGTGGGTAAGTAACTGAGCCTTTGGGAGCCCAGGATCAAATTTATCTGCTTAATAAGGATCGTGGCCACTGCTAAGAGAAGACATAAACAGGTAAACGGATGCCGATGAGGATTTTGATGCAGAGTTTGGAAGGGAATGAAATTCAAGATTTCTGGATGAGTTATATTTGGGAATATAATTGGATGGGTATAATTTGAGCACATTTTCCAATGTGATGCACGGTGTGATTCCTCCTTGTCTTTCTTTGAGAGATTTTATTCGAGATTTGCATTATTTAAGATGTCTGTTTGGTATCTGAGTAGCTACTTTGTTTTGTTTTCCTGGACATCATACTGAAACAAGCCCCAGTCTGGTCGATCTTAAAACTTCAAAATATTTAAATCATTTAGGTTACCACAAGTCACAACAAACTGATAGGAGTTGGCAAACTATGGCCCATGGACTCATTGCCTGTTTATTTAAATAAAACTTTATTAAAACACAGCCATGCCAATTTATTTACCCATTTGTTTATGGCTGCGTTCAAGCTGTGATGGCAGAGTTGATTAGTCGTGACGGATACTGCGTGGCCCACAAATCCTAAAATATTCGCCATCTGGTCCTTTGAGAAAAAACAAAATTGCCTCCCCTTGTGTTATCGTCTTAAAACTCTCCACAAATAAACTTGAAAATGTTTAAAAATTGTTGGGAGACCATTCTCCGTGCGTCTCCCACATTGCGTGTGCCGCACTAACTGTCCTTACGGTGTGGGACCCGAAATCAAGGCTCAGCGTCAAGTGTGCCTTGACATCTGTGGATGGAGATGGCCTCGGGCGGCCTAACCGCGAGTTCGCCTCCCCCTCGGCTCCCACAGGTAAG